GGCCCGCCACGAAGGTCCCCTACTGATTTCGGCGATCCATCTGATGACGATGATGGCTCCGGCGACAGTAACTGCAATCGTTTTCATCCGGGCCTCGACTGCTGCCGTGGCGGTACGTCGCCGGGGTACGGCCGAGTCGTCTCCCCCAGTGTGGGCGGCCCATCCGAGTCGCTGGTCGGTGGGACCGCGGAAGCATCTCTCAGGTCGTTGATGGTGGGCTCGGTACCCTGCCCGCTGTGGGGTGGCTGCCTCATGGGTGCTGGGCCCGGGAGCTATGGACGTGGCGTGAATCGGTTGGGCTCATGCCGTGGGATCCCAGACGTCCCATCGGGGGCGTGACCCTGCCCCAGCTGTCAACGCCGAAAGTTGTGAGACAGCCTTTTCAAACCGGTGCCAGACGCTCGCTGCATAGGACTTCGTCGCTCCAGCGACTGAGGATGGGGCCCTCCACCCCGTGTGGACCCGATGGAGTTGGAGGCGGAGTTGGGGACCCCGTACCAGACGAACTGGCGTTGGATCGACCTGCGCTCTCCTGATCTGATGCCGCACCGATCGGCCCAGGGGAGCGGCCTACATGACTTGAAAACCTGCATCGATGCTAGTCCAGGCCTGAGGGGGAAAGGGTCCTTCTGTGGCCCATCCAGGAATGTGGGCCGGTGTTCCGCTGTCCGGCGAACGGGACGAAAGGAGCGGACCCAAAGTTTCAGGAGCTCATGGAACCAGAGCTCGCCAGTCTGGGGTCGCCGTTGGGTTCACCGATCGCCGCAACAACGACCGCAGCGCTGGGAACGTCCAACGTCACCGCGCGGGCGGACGCTACGCATGCAACGTCCGCTGCGGCGCGGCAGGCCGAAATTGTGGCTCGGGTCTGCATCCCCCTGGACTCGCCTCTCATTAAGGCGGGGCCGAAGCTACGGAAGTCACGGCACCGGCAACAGTGTTGTCTATCAGGAGGAGGAGTCATCTTGCGGCCAAGCCACGGGCGGCCAACCCCACGCTGTAGGCGCAGTCCGTCCTAATGCAGAAGCTCAGACTGGTGGATAATCTCCCACCGGCGGATTTGGAGGCCTTCGAGAAGTATTTGGCGACCTTCGTAGAGCCGTTGACTCCGTTGAAGCTGGAGGCACTGCAGATGCTTGTCGCGCCTGATTTTGATCTCGTGGCCATGAATCTCAACTTGGCCGAGTTGGAGGGGGAGGCGCTGTAGTGGTGCCTGGGACCTTTTTCAGTCACGACCTTTGTTTCTCAATGATATCATACAACTGCTGTGTTTGGAATGTGCATGGGCTGAATGGCCATGCCCATCGCAATGTCGTTAGGGACCTAGTGACCTAGGAGCGCGTTACTCTGGTGTGTCTGCAGGAGACTAAGCTCTCCGTCATTTGTAACTCACTGGTTAATGAAATACTGGGATCTATGTTCGACTATGACTATCTGCCGTCTGCTAATGTGGGCGGGGTGTCTTATTTGGCTGGCAACGAGAACAATGGGTGGTTTCCCAGGTGGATAAACGTCACTTCTTCTTATCGGCTAAGGTGGCCAACACAGCAACACCGCAGGACTGCTGGTGGCTAACGGTGGTCTATGGGCCACAGGCGGACCAGGAAAAGGTCGAGTTCCTGGACGAACTTCGTCAGTTCAGGATGACGGCTGATGGACCGTGGGTGCTATGTGGGGATTTCAACATGATTTACAAAGCAGAGGATAAGAGCAATGATCAACTTGACTGGCATTGTATGCGTCGTTTCGGGCATTCATCGATGCCATCGAGCTGGAGGAGCTCAACCTGGTCGGCAGGCGGTTCACCTGGTCCAGTGAGCGGGACTAGCCGACTCTGGAACGGCTGGACCGTGTCTTCTCCACTACAGGCTGGTTGCAAGCACACCCGAATCATATCCTCCAGGCGATTTCCATGGATTGCTCTGATCACTGTCCACTGCTACTGATGGCAAACATGGTGCCATGGGCAAAAAAGAGGTTTCTGTTTGAACCCCACTGGATCAAATTTCGGGTTTCATGGAGGTTGTTGAGTCGGCCTGGTCAGCAACTCTGTTGCATGCTGACCCATTCCATGTACTGGATTACAAACTCAGAAATGTGGCACGGGCGCTGAAGAGCTGGAGTGATAAGAAGATCGGCAGTGTGCGGATGCAGTTAGCCTTGGTTCGAGAGGCAATCGTATGTCTGGATGTGGCTCAGGAATCCAGGTCGCTTTCTTTGTAGGAGTCACAACTGCGTAAGTCACTGAAAGTCCGCGTGCTCGGTTTGGCATCCCTGTTGCGTACGATTGCCAGACAGCGCTCAAGAATGATGTTTCTGGCCGGGGGAGATGCAAACACCAAGTTCTTTCACCTCATGGCTTGCCACAGAAAACGCAGAAACTTTATACGGTCTCTCCACATTCATGGCAATGTGATTGTCAGTGAAGAAGGAATGGCTGATGCTCTGTACCAATACTATGACCAAGTCCTAGGCACCATCTTTGTTCCCTCTCGAAGATTCAACCTTGGGATTATTGGGCTGCCATCGGTGGACCTATCCAGCCTAGAGGTGCACTTCACTGAAGCTGAAATTTGGGCAGTGATCTCTGAAATGCCGAATGACAAGTCGCCAGGGCCCGATGGCTTCACAGGCCTCTTCTATAAGACGGCCTGGCCCATAATCAAGGTGGACATTCTGAACGCCTTCAACGCGTTTTGGGCTCGCGACACTAGAAACTTCAACTTGCTTAACGATGCTTATATGATCCTGCTAAGAAAGAAAGATCAGCCCGAGGAGATCAAGGACTACCGCCCTATCAGTCTCATTCATAGTTTTGGCAAACTGATCACAAAATGCCTAGCAGCAAGGATGGCACAGGTGCTGGACAGTTTGGTTTAGCCAAACCAGACGACCTTCATCAGAGGTCGCTGCATACACGACAATTTCTAGCTTGTGCGCCTCTCCTGTAAGGCAATTCATGAAAAACGTGTTCCCTGTGTCCTGCTCAAGATTGATATAGCCAAGGCTTTTGACTCAGTTGCATGGAACTTCTTGCTCGAGGTGTTGGCGCATTTGGGCTTCGGCCAACGTTGGAGGGACTGGGTCTCCAGCATGCTGTCAACTGCTAGCACAAAAATACTTCTGAATGGTAGGTCGGGGAGAAGAATATGCCATGCGAGTGGACTTCGCCAAGGTGATCCACTGTCACCGATGCTTTTTGTGCTCGTCATGGAGGTTCTCAACCATCTGATCTGCTGGCTGGATGTCCAGGGTTTCTTGTCACCCTTGGGGTCGCCAGCTTTGCTTTCGTGGTCAGATTGTGCGGCTGACGACGTCGTCATGTTTGTAAGACCAAAATTGGATGATCTCCTTTCGTCCTAAAGGGGCGGTGGAGCTCTTTGGCTCAAGGCGTCGTGCATTCTCCAACTTGGATAAGAGTGTGGCTACTCGACACGCTTTCGGAGCAGGAGTTAGAACTCGTGCGTGACACTTTATTATGCAAGATCGAGGCCTTCCCATGCCGCTACCTGGGTATTCCACTATCAATTTTCAAGCTGAGGAAGAGCGTTGAGCAGAGCCTGGTAGACTCCGTCGCCTCCAAGATACCATAGTGGAAAGGAAGATTGCTGAACATGGCCGGGAGGACAGCATTAGCCAGAGCCATGCTCTCGGCAATACCGATCCACATGTCGATAGTCGCTGTGCCTTTCGCAGTGGGCCATTGAGCAAATTGATAGGCGGCGACACGCTTTCATTTGGTGTGGCGAGCAGACGGTCACTGCAGGCAAGTGCAAAGTGGCCTAGAAATCATGCTGCAAACCAAAGGATCTTGGAGGGCTGGGCGTCATTGATCTGCGGCGTGCTGGGGTGGCACTGAGGGTCCGATGGGAGTGGAAATGTCGGGTGGATCAAAGACTGAATTGGTCCAGCTTGCATAGAAAAAAAAGAAAAGATGGTGACTGCAGTTTTCAAGGCGGCCACAGTGTCCATTGTTGGCTCTGGGGAATCGACTTTCTTCTGGACGGACAACTAGATTGATGGTACAAGCATTCAGTCAATGGCGCCGGCGCTCTTTCAGGCAGTTGCAGCAAGGCGTCGGGGGCGCTGGTATGTGATGCACTACCGGGTAATGCATGGGTGCGCCACATCACCGGAGCACATATGGTTCAGGTCATCAACGAGTTCATGTTTGTGTGGCAGCAAGTTCGGCGATTTCTGCCCTTGCAGGGAACACCTGATGTGTTTCGGTGGAGGCTCACACCGGATGGAGCCTACTCTTCGGCCTCGTCTTATGGAGCCATGTTCTTTGGAGCTTCGAGGACTCTTGGGGCAAGGGAGATTTGAAAGACCTCGGCGCCGCCAAGAGTTTGTGCCTTCTTCTGGATGGTAATGCACAGGAGATGCTGGACCGCAGAACGGCGGTTTCGCCATGGCTTGCAAGACTCCAACATCTGCATCACTTGTGACCAACTGACGAAGAGTATGGATCATATCATCTTGGGTTGTGTTTACAGTAGGGAGGTCTGGGCCATTCTACTGGCCAAACTTCATCTCCTGGATGTTGTGCTCGTCAATGAGGAGGATGTCATGGAGTGGTGACTGCGCAACAGAAAGCTCGTTGTTAAACCGGCGAGAAAGGGGTTCGATTCACTCTTCTTCCTAGTTGGCTGGAGACTGTGGAAGGAGAGGAACTCGCGCACTTTTGATGGAGCTTCTACTGGCGCGGCTGGTCTGGCTTGCTCGATCTGGAGCGAGGCCGAGGAGTGGTGTTTGGCATGATACAAGCACCTCCTGTCTTTGCTAACACTGATGTAGTCTCCAGGGGTCATTCCCGTCGCAAGCATAGTAGTATGTAAATTAATTTCACTCGATGCCCGTGGGCCGTTGTGCTTCGGTAATCGGTGGATTATCATGGCGTTTATTTGTAATTTCGTGTAAACTCTCTTCTCCTGCTTAATGAAAACCGTGCCCGAGGCACGTTCGAGAAAAAAAACTATGCTTGAGAGTTACCAACATGGATGGCAGAAAAATTGCCAAAATTATCTTATCTTCAATTGTGGAATAATATGTTCTTGGGCCCTATCCCGGTGCAGCTCACAGAACTTGGATATCTACAGTTCTTAGACCTTGCGCATAACAGAATGTCAGGCAGCATACCTCATTCATTGTCCAAGCTGAAAGCTATGACTCATGACAAGGATCACCTGCAACAGTTAGGTATCCCCTTACTCTGGAGCTATGATAGGCCAGCATCCCCAGGCATATATGAGATGCAAAAGTATGATGATAGCCTAGAAGTAATGAAAGGCCAATATCTTGATTACACCAGTAACATCATACACACGGTTGGCCTTGATCTCTCCCACAATAATTTAGTTGGAGAGATTCCAGATGACATAACATCTCTTATTGGACTGAGGGGCTTCAACATCTCCCATAATCAGTTATCTGGTAAGATTCCAGAGAAGATTGGCCTGCTACAATCACTAGAGTCTCTCGATCTGTCATGGAACGAACTCTCTGGTGAAATTCCTTCCAGTCTCTCAGGCTTGACAATGTTAAGCAAGCTGAACCTATCATACAATAATCTCTCCGGAAGAATACCCTCAGGTGATCAGCTGCAGGCACTGATAGATCCAGCTTCTTCGTACATTGGCAACGACTGTCTCTGTGGGCCCCCAGTTTCCAGGAATTGCTCGGGGCCTGAGGTTGCTAGCGGTCATCTTGATGAGCATCAGTCAGGTTCAGAGGTAAGGAACTTGTATCTTGGCATGGCTGCAGGATATGTTTTGGGCCTTTGGGTGGTCTTTGTTACATTGTTATTTGACAGGACGTGGAGAGCTGCTTATTTCCAGCTCTCTGACAAGCTAATGGCGGATTGGTAACTTTGTGGCCGTAAATTTTCTAAGGTGTCTAGGGAACTTGTACGGGAAACACGGATAAGAACTGGTACATGACTACATGCGCTGATTGTCGTTGCTGATTTGACGTCAGAACTGTAACCATTGCTATTCCTAGTTTTCTCTGTTGCATGCCTGTTCATTCTTTTTTCCTGCGAGAAACAAAGCCTATTTATTCAATCTGAGGTTAATAGTTTTATCTGGCATGCAAGCTTTACTAAACAAAAATAGAGACACATATGTTGACAACCAAAATTGATCAATACCATCAAATCTAGGAAAGACGGCCATGACAATTTTGGCAAGTAGGTCTTTACCAAGCCTCTCATAGACCGCTAGTCTTCACTATGGAGAGTTTTTGGCCTCTCATCCCCGTACACGGCCGATGGTCAAACCACAAACAAGGTTGGTGTGATCTCGTAAGAATATAAACCCCACGAGTCGACGTTTTGTAGCGTCAACTAGTAAATTTGTAGTCATGCATATGGCTTCAGATGGCTGACACTCAGAGATGAAGGATCTATACTCGTTCGCACAATGCACCCCACGTCTAGTTTGAAGGTGTCTGTTCATGTTCATGGGCACAAGTGCTCTTGCAGTAGGGGTTACAGAAGGGAGGTGAAAGAGAAGTCTATTCACTACTACATAAAGTTCATCACCACGGTTCCAAACCTCCCTCCACCGACAGTTTTGGCCGTCGTTGGTGATAGCCTGGCTGATCATCGCCGGACCAACGTACGATATGGCGATGCTATCAGTTACCTTCACCACCGTGTCTGAGCGCGATCCGGCGGCAATTGGTCGCGTACCGCTGCTGGTTTTGCGGACGATCTGGCGGTGATGATGGAGACAACGTCTGTTGGACGTACCATCCGGCGGCGATGAACGAGACATCAACGTCGGTCCGGGTTATGATCCGCTTTGATGTAGGTACCAGAACAGCCGGTCGCCTTTCGATCCGGCGGTGTTGATGACAGTATCTGGCTGTGGTGTAGTGGGTCTCCGGCGAAGAGGCTAGATCTTGCGATCAAGAGGGGCCTTGCTGCTTGGTCGCTTGTTGAGCTCGTGGCAAGCAAGCGCATGGAGGAAAGCGATGAGAGCAAGAATTGTTCACTCTTGTGGGCGGTCCGTAAGCTTATATACCACCTAATTTATCTGACATCTATATAGATCGGTTTGTGAGTTGCGTCACAATGTATATAGGGGACTTTGGGTGGCTTATGGACTATTTTTTCTCAACATTATGTCAGCTTATGGACGACTTTGGGTGGCTTATATATGGACATCTCCTAGTTTTTGGTAAAACTTACTCCTAAGTCTTGTTTTTATGCAAATTTATGCATCTCAATCCACAAGGCCTAAAAGATATTTAGGATGCTTTCAAAAGCTATTGGAAGAAAAAAGAACACTCCTTCAATAATTACCTTTTCTTTGTTCCAATCCCCCAAAATAGCGCACCTAATGCATGATTTTCATGGTCTTCGTTATCTTAACATACCTGTGGTTGTTACTGGCTTATTGGTGGCTAGGGCTAGTAAGGGCGTTGCCAGTGCAGACAGTAGTAAACCGAAACGATATGAGCGCTTAAGACCAATGGAAGAAAATCGTCCACCAAACTTTGATTGGGAATCCACGGAGATATATCATGTAAAGATTGAGACTGGGTTCAAAGAACTCTTAAAGTTGCTCTTAATTCAAAGGTTATAGATTTTAGAAAACACACACACACGTCACATGACTTGTGACCGATTAGTAGGCTTTTCTCAAGATTATTTTTTGTTATTTTTATAACCAGTTTTATATTTCTTAAAAATAACTAGCAGAAGTGCCCATGCGTTGCAACGGGTCTCGAATAGATGGTTTCATAGAAATAAATTTCTCAGTGAAATAAAATAAACATAGAAAATGTCATGCTGACAGATTTTTATTTGTTCAAATGTATGCAAGTCGAATTTATGTCAACACCACGGTTCTTAACCCTGTGACAAATTCTTTCTTCAAAACATTGATTGATCTAAGCTCTGCCTGTCTCCCCGTCACCTCGCAGCCATCTGCGGATTGATCTGCATACCTTCTACCCCCGAGTACCTTGAGCATGCCTCTGGGGCCTCACTCCAATCATAGGTAAACTACACATTAATTTTGATATTGACATGTACGGCTGATGTTATGAAATTTCTTCGCGTGAGTCCAATTGACATGTAAAACAATATATGTTTCCTCACAAACCCTTACAAAAGTCATACTGAAACAGAGAGATGGTTGTTCAGACTATTTAATTTCCAATATGAAACTTACCTGAAATGAACTCTGAATAGACTTAAATTGTAACTTTGAGATAGTGGTTCAGATTATTTAACTTAAACAACAACTGTCTTAGATTACTTTTAACTAAAACAACGAATGGCTTAGACAACATGACATTTTGTATATTTGTCTCCGCTGACTAATTTATGTATGGAACATCTATTTTGGGGCTATTGCAACGGCTGGACATCACTTGATTGATTCACATATCCTCTAAGCCTGCAAAATCAATTCACTGATACATAACTTGCTAACTTCGACGCGCAGCATATGCTAGTGCAACAAAAGCACTCTAGGTATCTAGTATCTTACCCATGCAGCCGCGGCCGCGGCCACAAACCATTATTTTGGCTAAATCCACACTGCTGATTGCTGCATCTGTAGGACTTCAAGAACACAAAATTTAGTAGGCTGAGACTCCACAACACAGGCATATTAATTATTTTTGTTTCTTACTGGAAACTATTTAGGAAATTACCAATAGCACGAATAAGCTAGGACGACCATCGCCATGTCTTCTCCCACCGGCAGCTTCCACCAATGGCTGACCAAGTGGTCACCATCATGTATCTATCCCAAACTGTGCCTGCAGATACAAACTATTGAGTAAATTATTTGCATCCGCTGTGAATAGCATGTGTTCTCGGCAGATTCTGAAATATGACCACATTGCACTGTCAAAATCTAAGAATTTACACATCATTCAGGAGCATATAGATGTATTCTGTGCCAAAGGAGATTAATTTGGAGCCTTGAGTAATTAGCAGAGTGCACCTAGATGATATCTACACTCCAGAATAACGTGGAAAACAATTCAAGAGTGAAGCTTGTAACCGTGTCACTGGCCCAAATTGGAATCAATCTGAAACCGTAACATGTTTTCAGTGTATGCACTAACCTATGGACGAAATAACCGTTTGCGCGGTGGCAGGCTTAGTTGAACTCCAGATCGCCTTCCCGGGCTTCAATCCCAGGCAAGGTACCAAATCCAGGCAAAAGAAATTTAACTAACATTATCAAAGGAAATAATCTTGTTTATGCTTGCAAGGCTAATAGTCAACTGCATACAATGGCATAAAACACTGATGAGTGATCTTGGATCTCAACGTTTGGAATGGAATGGTAAAGAAACTGCAAAATGCAAAACCACTGCACATAACAAAATTAATTTGGCACATCAGTAAGCATGAGAATAGGAACTGCTAAACCAAGAAAAAATACATTAAAAATAAATACTAAGAATGAGAAAATATATTTCCCTTCTAATAAGGCGTACTTACATCATCGTTTAACCATTTACTTTGGTCTAGGAGGCACAATAATCGATGTTGTTTGACAGATATTTCATCCATCCTCACCAGTAAATCATTTTCCAAAGATGTTTCTATTATTATTTGAGCACATAAGTCCATATTGGTCAATGCATAATCTGCATAAAATTCAATACAGATTAGCTTTATATCATTGGTATTATAGTGAAAAGACTACATGCAAAAGTACACATAAATGAAAAAGAACCTTGTGGGAGATAGTCATACGTTTCACCAACATTGGTCTGTTTATGTTCTTCTAGTTGTTTATCATTATTCGATAAAAGCTTTTCTTCACTCATCTACTTATCTACCGATTCAGAAACTGAAGATAATGTCTCTGAAACATTTTCTTCACTCATCTGCTTATCTATCAATTCAGAAACTAAAGATAATGTCTCTATGGTTGGTGATGTAGCTGAAGGAATTGCATCAACATTTACCATTATACCTGATTCCAACAAATACAGTTCATAACATTTTGATTCCTTTAAGGGCCCATCATCAGAATCCTCAAAAGTGTTTTATTCAACGCTATGATCCATTTTCTGTAAAAACAGCAAAAAAAAAATCAACAAACATAACTCAACTGCAACTACCACAGATCCATGCAACATAACTCAAATAGTAAAATGCTAGCTCCTTCACAACATACTCGATTGTCATGGCATATAGTCAGCAACCAAATCAATCAACCAAAATAAAAAATGTTCTGAAAAGGGTCAGGACAAGCATCAGCTTGTGAGGATATTTCTTCCCTGTACTACTCTTGTATGCAATCAGAAAATTTCTTCTCGGTACTACTCTTGTATGCAATCAGAAAAATCACTGCTACTCAAAGTCGTACGCAAACATGTTTCTCCTACCCACTGTTGACAAGCAGCATATAGCCCCTTCAACAATAATAAGAACTCAGCGCTGCTCTACCAACACCATCAATCTCCCGACAACATCAAACAGGCAAGAGTCTCTAAACAGATGCACTTTATTCTTCAATATGTTGAAAACTGAAAATTAGAGATTTTTGCCCTCACATGGATCGCAACAACCGAGGTCTATGGGGGGTGCACGGGTATGTACCTGGCCTATGTGCACGCATTGGGCCGAGGGGCACGATGGAGAAGAGTACGATGAGCTTGGTGCTGAGGAAGATTGTCTGCAGGTTGGCGAGAACAGGGCAGATCGGTCCTTCGAAGGGCACCTTGCGCTGCGGACCAGCAACCCGTCTGACTTCTTGCCGTTCACCTTCTGCGGCAGCATGCGCCGATGGTGGCCAGCACGCAATCGGCTCTCCCGGTGGAGACTATTGTGTTAGGTTTGATCTCCCACCAGTTAGGCCCAACGGCCTTTTTGGGCCTTGTTCTCGCG